CCGTTTACTGACAGCAGGTTAGAGCTTAGGCAGTGAGTGGTCCCTTCACGAGGGTGGGGCAGCTGGTGGGCAGGAACTGAGAGGCCTTATTGCACCTAGGAGCCAGAGCTAGCCACCAGGATGGGCCATGTGAGCCAAGTGATGTGGAGACACTGAGCAGGCCCTGGAAGGGGAGCCCTCACTTTAGATGGGACATGAGGGACTGATGGGCAGGATGGGACCAGGGACAGAACTGGAGCCTGAGTGCAGGCCTGTGCGCACCTGCCGTGAACCAGCCCCACCCAGCCATCCAGAGGACACACACAGGTGCACCCTCCACATCCAGCCCCAGCGGTCCTGGGGCTCTCTGACCCTGGGCTCCTTCAGTTCAGAGGCTTCTAATAACACCCTGGTGCACCACCCAAGGTAGCACCTGCCCAGATCACAGACAGAATACTAGGATCTTTGGTTGGAGGGGGGGCGCGTTGTGGAGTACTGGGGATAGGATAAAAACACATATGTAATAACTTATCAATAAAGAAAAAAAGAGAGAGTACTAGGATCTTTGGTTGGGGATGTAGGGGCAATGGGGGGAGATAAGGACACATATGTAATAACTTAATCAATAAAGAAAAAAAGAGTACTAGGATATTTGCCTATTTTCCCTCCAGCCTTATTAAGCCCGGGTTTTGGGGACTGGCTTCTGCTCACCCACATCCCACTTGCATGGAATTTTCCTGGTCTGTACTCCTTTGGCCCCCAGCAGGCTCTAGGCTATAGGCACGGTGCCACTGTCCACAGAGGGCTGTCTCCTAGTCAGGGCTTTTAGGGCAGGAATAGGAAGCTAAGGCTCAAATCGACTGAACACCTTCCAAGGTCCCAGCTAGGAAGAGGCTAGGCTAGAAATTTTGGGGGGGTTGTCTGCTGCAGTTACCGCATGTTGCCTTGGTCTGGCAGGAGCTTTAGAAGAGTCAAAACATCAGATGATGAAGCTCACATCCTGGCATTCTTGTTGCAGGTTGCTATGTGAGTTAGGGGAAATGACTTCACCTCATCTGTGAGATACTGCCCACTGTGAGTACGAAATGAGACAGTACAGAACATAGGAGCTCCCAGCAGTTTCAGGCATGTGGGTTGCTGTGTATATGTTGGTTATCATCATCATCATTATCTGTAACCTCCTGGGTCTCCTGGACTACATTGCATCTATTTTTTTTTTTTTAACAATAATGGGGATATTTGGGGTCATATTTTTGTTTCCAGTTGGCAGACTGGGCCAGAGTGTGTCTTGATACATCTTACCTGCAACACATTGGGTCATATAACTTGTTTCCTTAAAAGTTGATCATGGTCTGCTTATGAGAAGGTGCGGCCAACTCTTTAGGCTTTGATTTCTTCCTTGCCTGGGGCCTTGGTCCCTGACCTTCTTTCAATTCAACTGTGATTCTCTCTGGAGGGTTCCCAGTGCAGGTCAGGTCTCCTGGCTCTCCTCTCCTTACCATCAGTGAAATAAGTGAAGTCATTCCTGGCATTAAGTGAAGTCAATGCCAAGGGCTTTGGGGTGATTGGGAATGAGGAAGTGGGAAACAGGGATCACTGAGGTGAGTTACAAGGAAGCTCTCAGGCATATGGACAGCTGGACAGGCAGTCAGGTGGACAGATGTGAGGTGTCTAAGAGACCTCATTTGGTAAATCAATTGCTTTCTTTTCTGAACAGCTTCATAAGAATCTGTTCCTTGTGAGGCTTTGAGGAGCAGAGCCTGGTCTTGAATTTCTCTGCAGCCCTTTCTTGCCTGGAGCACTGACTGACGTTGATCCAGACCATCTTAGTTCAGGCAAAGGATTGTTTAATGCTTGCTGACTAGTTATCGAAAGGAAATTTGTGATTTCTGGGGCACACACACACACACACGCTATAGATTTTGAGGTATTTTGTTGTTTCTGCTGTGTGTTACCATCTCTTCACTCTCTGCTTGTCTTTCAGTCTGGGACCTGTTCTTTTATCCTCACACACTCCCAGGTTACTCTTACTTACCTGGATTTTGCAGTGGGAAACATCTGCTTCTGTATGTTCCATTATGTCAAGATGGGACTAGAAGCCAAGCTGAGCCACCTGCTGCCGTCCCCAAGTTGACCTGCCCAGTCTACTTGGCACTGGCCACCCCTGGGGTCACCCAGAGAGCACCATGTGCATCTCTGTGGCTCTGAGCACCTTCATCTTTTAGCTCAGCTGGAACTTGGGAATGAAAGGAGGGGTTTCTGTCATGTCAGCCTTGATCTGCAGGGTATGGGGACCCAGATCTACTGCTCTAAGGCATAAGGCCACAGCAACAGTTGTGTTAGTGCCAACTCCTAGGTGCAGGAGCTCTGTATATTCGCTTCCTCTGTGCAATCTTTAGTGCTTCTCTGGCTGGAGAGTCTCTCTCTTTCTTTGTATCATGCACCCCGAATCTCCCTCCCACTCTCATCTTCTATCCTATCTAGCATTGGACGTCTGATTGGAAGTAACATATATATGTATGCTACTCCTTACAGAGAATGATTAAAACTTCAGTTGCCCATCTCCCCAGCATATTCCTCCATGCATCTTCTATGTATCAGGCAATAAGCCAGATTAGAGAGATATTTTTCTTTTTAAAGCAGAATCTATCACCCTGGAGTTGAAAGAACAACAAAAATAATGCTGATTTTCTTTAAAATGACTGTGTTCCTATTTTCTGCCTATGGTGAGACCCTGAGGATGTCTGCACAGGAGACATGTATCATTGTAAGCTGGGTGAGGTTAGAGACCTGGGCTTGTTGGGGAGGAGAGTCCTGGATTTCTGCAGAAACCACTTGGTTGAGTGAAAACTTGGGAAGCCTAGCCAGTGGTGATTAGGAATGTGTGAGATGGAACAGTGAAGTGGAAAGGAGGATGGAGGGGCCAACCAGACAGACTGAGTCTTTCCATTAGATGTTACATCAAATTTTCACAGGGCTCTCAAGGGCTGGTCTCATTTGATCCACGCAGAGCTAGGGATGGTGAGGACTTTTCTGACAGTTTAGTGATGAAGAAACATGTGCCCAGGGTAATGTGTCCAATGTGAGGCAGAGCACTTTTCACTTCTGAAAACCCTGCAGGATTTACTGAATGGCCACCTTGACTCATGAAGAGAGAAGGATCAGCCCCCTTCCCATCCCCCCTTGTACCTCTCCTGCTCCCCTGAGGTTCCCATGTTTCCCATTTCACCAGAGGGGCCTGTCTGCTCTGGCCAAGAGGCCTGACTCCCAATTCAGGCTTGATTGACTACAGTGTGACCCCATGGTCTGTAGGTGCAGAAGATGGTGCTGGTACAGTGCACTCTGGCCTTTTTGTGTCTTAATTTCAAGGGCCAGAAGCTGTTGAAAACAAAGGACTAAAGAGGCCAGCCCCAGGAATGAATGCTCAGAGTAGGTGGGTGTGGAAGGTGTGTGTTGCTCACATGTATGGGCTGGTGAGTAATGGGCTGAGGAGGAGCAGCTGACAGCCTGCCAGGCTCAGGACAGCTGCCAGGGGGCTCTGAGGGACCTTCCCAGTGCCCTCCTCTCTCGGATCACCACACAGTAAATGAGATGATTCCCGCAGACTGCCCAGGAGCCCGTCAATATCCATTCTAATCTCCCTGGCAGCCCCAGAGGTGAATTTACAGCGATGTGGTAAAAATGAGGCTGCATGATCAATGCATCTCTGGACGGCCTCTTCCAGGAGACACAAATGTATATTGCAACAAAACTTTATTTTCTTCCGAAAATTGCCTACATGATTAATATGGCCCGACACAGGCCAAGCTGTTCAGCATAAAAAACAGCCGCATTTCTTGCTCCATCTTCTTCCTGCTTTGCTCACTCCATTCCCTTCCTTCCGTTGCGTGGGTTTTGCTCTCACACTTTGTGCTCTACAGGGGGAAGGGAATGCAAGATCCGGATTTCAATCCACGTTGTTTCTCCTTGTATTTCCAGGGTGGCTCAGACTAAGCATGGAACCAAATGCCCGGTGTGTGGGTGCTTCTGGGACTGAGCCATGCAGAGCACATCCTCGGGGCATTTTACTATCTCTAACGTCACCAGCTCTCTGCCCCCGAGTCCAGCATGGATGAAAAGGATTCTCCCCTTTCGCCCTGTCTTTGGGATGGGGCAGTTGCTGGGTCATAAGAGGGAGGACCTCTTAGGCAGGTGGTGCCACTTCCTGTCCTCACGGAGGTTTTAGAAAGAAGAGATGGGGTGTGTCAGGAAGCTGAGGACCTGCTTCCTTGATTATGATTATGTGCACGTGTGTGTTATGTCTCCTAGAGCGTAAGCTCTGTGAGAGCAGGGGTCTCCTGTAGATGTCTTAGTATGGGTTCCCACAGAAGCTGACCCTGAGACAAAGAGTTGAGTGCATTAGTTTATTTGGGAAGTAGAGAGGGGAGTGGGGAAGTAGGACTGGGAAGGGAAGGCATCCCCAAAGGGGGTGCCATGCAGATTGTTAGTTACTGTGTGTAACAGGAACTTCATCTCAGGAGGACCCTGGAAGGCAGTGTAAAATATACCCCTCAGAGTCAACCTGCTCCAGAGCTGAGAAGTCGGGTGTTTATGCACCAGCCCCCAGCAGTCTCTGGATGAGAGCTAATGAGGGCGGGTAACTGCTTAGGTGACATCATAGCAGCTGAGCCCCAGACAAGGAAGTGCAGGTGCCCGAGTGGGCAGTTGGACAGGTAGGCACTGACGTGACCAGGGGGTACATGTGGGCACAGTAGCCTGTGGCATGGCAGATGTGTGTCCAAGACTGTGCTTCCCGTTCGTACAGGCTTGGCAAATTTGGGATAAGTGGGGCTGGATTCCTTGACTCTCTCCTCCTTAGGTTTTTATTCTCAGTTCTTAACCAAGAGACCCAGGTGGTACAGGGAACCAGTGGTTCACACCTCAGGACGACGTGTACAAGGATTGGGCGGATGTCCTTCCTGTGTCCAGCACAGCCCTGTGCCCCTCCTTCCTGACGTGGCTCTCCCTGCTCTCCTCCCCAGGTGTAAGGAGCTGAAGTACGCCAAGGAGCTGCCCCAGATCTCCATCATTTTTATCTTTGTGAACGAGGCCCTGTCGGTGATCCTGCGGTCGGTCCACAGCGCTGTCAACCACACGCCCACACACCTGCTGAAGGAAATCATCCTGGTGGATGACAACAGCGACGAAGGTATGGGGGTGGCCGACCCAGGGGTTTCTTAGAGAGGAGGATGCAAACTCACAGTATCAGCAGGGGCAATGCCCCTTCATTCCAGCACCAGCCCAAGTGTCTCTGTCTTCTGTTCCTGGGGCATATCCGGGGAAAGGGAGAAGTTTGGAGGAGGAAGTCCAGGCAAACACTTCCATTAGTTGATGAGTCCTCTAGGGCTGAGAGAAAATGACCGGTGATGTATCTAGACTAATTTTAACTTCCTCTCTTCTTATTAATAAAGGAGATGGCATCGAAGATCTGAATTCCTCCACATACCCCCTTTCCCGGGAGGCTAGAGAACCAGGGAAATTCTGTCCTGTGATGGGAAGTCCTACCTCAGAATTCCCCTCTGGGCCACTGTGCCCACAATGACTGTGGATAGAAATGAGCAGAGTTTGCCAAAAACCGGTTTGGCTCAGTGGTAGAGCGTCGGTCTGCGGACTGAGAGGTCCCTGGTTCGATTCCGGTCAAGGGCATGTATATTGGTTGTGGGCACATCCCTGGTAGGGGGTGTGCGGGAGGCAGCTGGTCGATGTTTCTCTTTCATCGATGTTTCTAGCTCTCTATCTCTCTCCCTTCCTCTCTGTAAAAAATCAATAAAATATATTTAAAAAAGAAAAGAAAATTAAATCAGCTTTGGACTGATTTGCTTTAAAAAAGAAAGAAAGAAAGAAAGAAAGAAAGAAAGAAAGAAAGAAAGAAAGAAAGAAAGAAAGAAAGAAAGAAAGAAAGAAGCAGAGTTTTGCAGGCCTTTTGGAATTGAGCTCTGTGGGGAATGGTGGCTCAATTTAAAAATATAAAACAAGCAAATACTGGATGGCAGCAGCAGAAGTTCTGTGAGGTCCTTGGAGATGAGAACCTGGTGTTGAGTTGGTAGGGGGTTGGTTTGGCTAATTGTACCTTCGTGTTGGCTCATAGCCTACAGAATCCACTGTGCTCAGTGCAGGGAGAGAACCCACAGCAAGTGACAGACAGAGAGCCAGCCAAGAGGCTTATCTTCTGAGCAACTGTAGGATTAAGGTGCAGCTGAACCCCTTGCTCTCAGCAGACTGAGCACAGACTGATCATCCTGTGAACTCCTGGTCGGGAGAGGCAGGATAAGCCACAGGCCCTGTTTGAAACCTGATTATCTTGGGGAGCTCCGGGTGACCCAATCACATTTGATTGGCTCAAGGGCTGAAGTCCCTCTGCCCCTTCTGAACCTGCATTATAGCAGGGTGCTCTCAGGCACTACTCTTTGGTGGTGGGGAGACCTCTGGATTTGGAGGACAAATGGCCATTTGCTGAATTTTTCACATACCTATTTTTCTTTTTTGATCTCTGGCCTTTTCATTATCTATATTATAAAACTGATATTGAGCCCTGATCTATGAATCAAGAGATCTCCGTTTGATTCCTGGTTAGAGCACATGCCTGGGTTTCGGGCTTGATTCCCAGTAGGGGGCATGCAGGAGGCAACCAGTCAATGATTCTCTCTCATCATTGATGTTTCTATCTCCTATTCCCTCTCTGAAATCAATAAAAATATATTTTTAGAAAACTGACATTGAGAGTCTTGTTGTGAGACAGAGGCTTGAAGTTCCTTGAAGCCTCTAAGTCAGTGGTTCTCAACCTTTCTAATGCCATGATCCTTTAATACAGTTCTTCATGTAGTGACCCCCAACTGTAAAATTATTTTTGTTGCTACTTCATAACTGTAATTTTGCTATTGATAGTGAATCATAATGTAAATGCCTGTGTTTTCTGATGGTCTTAGGCTCTACAGCAGTGGTTCTTAACCTGTGGGTTGCATCATCTGGCAGTGCTCTGCCTGGCTGCTCACAGCATACCTCGCAGCCTCTCTGTGCACCCAGACTGACCTCTTGCTTCAGCAGGACTTTCAGACACCTGCAGGGAGTCTCTGCTACTACCCACCCTCCTCACTCCTGGCTAAGCCCCACTCCTTCCCTAGGTCTCCCATGGGTGTCACACCCTCCAAGACTTTGCTGACATCCTAAGTCCCTGCTCTGTGCTGCTGTGATACCCTGTTCCCTTCTGGAGCCCATGTTATTGCCTCGACCTGCATATCCTCACTCCAAGTTCTGGGCAGGACTTTGTCCCATGGGCCTGGCTGGTAGCTGACCCGTAGTCAAGGAGCTAGCAGCTGAGGGGCTGGAAGTGCCACTCAGAAGAGCTGGCCAACCCAGAAAAGAGAGGGAACTGAGAATGAGCTGATTACTCATTGCCGGTGGGGCTCCCTCTCCCTCCGAACCCGGCCAGAGAGGAGGGAATGGGGTCTCCAGTAGATGCCTTAGCTTGGGCTCCCCAAGGCACAGACCTTGAGACAAAGAGTTGAATGCATTAGCTTATTTGGGAGGTGGATAGGGGACTAGGAAGTAGGACTGGGGAGGAAAGGCACCCCCTCAAAGGGGGTTTCATGCAAATTTTTACTGTGATTAACAGGAGCTTCATCCCAGAGGGTCTCTGGAGTCAGTGTAAAAGCCACCCCTCAGGATTATCCTGCTCCAGGGCTGAGGCAGTCAGGGGTCCATACACCTTTAGCATCAGATGCTTTCCCCTGGGAACCTGGTGGCGCCCTACCCTGGAGGAAGTTCAGTTTCAGGAGTTCAGGGTGGGTAAAGGGATTTGCATTTCTTACTGGCTCCCGGGGGACTCCCTGGTGCAGGGACCACACTTGGAGAACCACTGAGTTAAGTACCATTTCAGTAATTCACACTTCAGCTTTCATGAAGATGGTCAGTGGGTGAGAACAAGCAGAAAGAAGCATTTGGTCCATTCTGATCTTAACGCTAACTCCCATTCATCCTTCCCTGTCCTCCCCAGTACCTAGCACAGGGGTGGGAAACCTTTTTTTTCTGCCAACAGCCATATGGATATTTATAGCGTCATTCCTGGGTCATGCAAAATTATCAACTTAAAATGTATTTGCTTGCTATACTTGGTCAAACATTTTATTAACTTGGCCCTACTGCCTCGGCAGAGCCAGACCAAATGACTTCACAGGCTTTATTCTGTTTGCAGACCATAAGTTCCCCACCCCTGGCCTATGAAACCAAGAGTGGACTACATTAATGTCATCTCTCTCTCTCTCTCTCCTCTCTCTCTCTCTCTCTGAAAAGAAGGCACTCCTATACTTTCTCTTTAATGGGAAGATAAATTTAACATTTTTTTCTTTATTAAGGTTTTCCTTGTGACTAGTATTATTGAGTTTTTGTGAATGTTCTATATACACTTGAAAAGACCCCCACACTGCGATCACGGAATTGAATTCTTGCCAGACATCAATTATGTGTATTTAGATAGACTCGGGGTTTGTCTTCTTACGTCTCTTTGATAATGGTGTTTTAACATCACCTTCTACAATGACTGTTCCTTCCCGTGTTTTTAATAATGTTTGATTTCTGTATCTTGTCAGTTTCTTTGGCAACATAGATTTGTATCTGCATGGCTTCATTGTTAGTGGAGGTTGTTACCATTATGTAATGTTCCCTTTATCTTCAAGAATACGGTACCTTTTTTTTTTCTTGCCTTGCATTTATATTGTCTAGCATTAATATTTTTTATCCCTTCTTACCGTCTGTTTTGAGTTTGATTAAAATATTTTCCCCAGCCTTCCCATGTTTCTGATCTTAAAAGTAATACATGCTCTTTGTAGGGAAATTTGAATGTGACAAAAAGCACATCTAATTGAAAAAAACAAACAAAACAAGACACAAATACTGTGAGACTAGCCAGCAGTGACTGCTCATTTGTCCATGTTCTCACCCTCTTTTTAATGTGCATTTGACACAGTTATGATCCTATAGTAAAAAGAAGTTAATGTCCTCGTTTTCCCCCTGAACGTGGAAGCACATTTCCCTTTTCATTAAAAAAGCTCTGGGAACATCATTTTAATGAGGGTAGAATGGTCTGTTCTCAGGTTGGTCAACACTGGCACAGGTGGAAACAATATAGCGCCCCACTTCCATATGTTTTCACATCCATTCAAGATAAAAGGCTTTTTCAGAAAAAAAGAGGAGGAGGAAGAAGATGAGGAGGAGGAGGATGAGGAGGAGGATAAGGAGGAGGAGGAGGAGGAGAATGTTGGTGCAGAGAATGTGTCAGCATTGGGACACTGGTAGTTCCTCTACTGTGTATGTTCTAAAGATCCTCAAATCCATCCCCCCAGCCCAAAGCAACTTAGCCTCTCCCCCAAGCTCCACCCCTGTATCTCCTAGGTGACAGCTCAGGGTTCCTCTGAAACCATACTCTCAATGGGTCCAGTGGCTCATCATTTTCCTCTCAATCTCAGAAAACTGTTTCCCATCAATTATTTCCTGTCTCATTGAAGAGCTTCACCTTTTTCTCAGTTATCTCATCATCAAAGCCTGGAAGCCTTTGCAAACTCTTCCTCATCCCTTTCCCAATAGCATCTGGTTAGTTACTGTTGAGTGTGGTCCTACTTGGCCATATCCCAAGCCACTGGCTTTTTGTTCAGGTCTTCAGCATTTTTTTGCCTTGAAATTTGTTTGAGGGGTTAAGGGCACACAGATTTGTGACCATTATAATTCTTGACACACCCCATAGCTTTTGTTTATTATACTTTGTTTTAACTGAGATATAATTCACATAACAAAATATATCACTATGTGGCTTTCAGTATATTTACTATGTTTTGCAACTATTACCACTAATTCCAGAATATTTTCCAAAGGAAGCCCTGAATCTCTTAGCAGTCTCTCCGAATTGCTTGGGCAACCATTAAAGTATTTTCTGTCTCTATCCTATCCTTGACCTTTGATATAAATGAAATCTACAATATGTGTCCTTTTGTGTCCGACTTCTTTCACTTAACAATGTTTTCTATGTCCATCCATGATATAGTACATATGGATACTTCATCATTTCTTTTTATGGCTAAGTAATATTCATTCATCAATTGACATAGACATCCTTCACCCCAACCACCCTCCCCCAGGCTTTCACCACTCTATTGTCTG